ATGTGTCGTTTCAGCGCTGACGGCTGTTGATGACGGAATGATGACTAATATGCAACTACAGACGCTTAGTGAGTGAGTTAACAGTTTTCAAAGTCGACAATACCAACCACTCAACAGGAGGGCGATCAATTCAACATCTAGCAGTGGTCTGGGTCCAGTTGTGGCCACTTCTGAACACGGTACTGGACCTTCGGGTTCCATAGAAGGCGAAGAATTTCTAACTGCCTAGATGACTATCAGCTTCTCAAGAAGGCCTCTGACGCAGTGAATTACTTAATTTGTGAATAAACAGGCTGCTTACACAGGCCCCTGCAACTTCATCACGAGGTTATGAGACGTGTGACTTATGCCTCCTGAGGCCCCAAATATTCTTGCACAGTATAAATTATCCCCACCCCCCCGCCACCCCCAAAGGTGTCTCCACCTAGTCGTGGTGGTGGGGCTTGCGTGACTATGACCTGGAGAGCTACGCCGGTGGTAGTTTACTACCGGTACGGTCGCCCATGCCGGAAAGGTCAATGGGTAGAGTCCAGACTAAGAGAGATACCCTGGTCCTCCAGGTTGGGAGTTGAGCATGAGGCTAATAACATCATCCTGTAAAAAGAATTTTGTTCAGAAACCTAACAACCAGCGTCATCATGCGTGGGTCCATTCCTATGGCAGCACGCACTGGTTGTGGAGACTGGCTGTAGAGGAGGCCAAGGCTCACCCAGGGCTGGAGGGCCGAGTGGTAGTAAGTAGGTAGGTAGTAGGTAGGTAGTAGATGGGTGGGTGGGGGGTAGGTAGGTACTATAATTATCATGAGCCGGGATAGCTCAGCATAACGACGGGTTATTGGCTGGATTGTTGAGGTTCGATTCTCGACAGCGGCAAAATGTTTCTCTAAGTATTCGGACTGGCTCTAGGGACCACTCAGTCTCCTGTCCAATGAGTACGGAGGTTCTCTCCACAAAGGTAAATCGGCCGGGACGTGAAGCTACCACTTACCTCCATCTAGTGCCGAGATCTTCGTGGCGTAGTGCTTAATTAATTAAGCAAAGGAGGTTTACCTATAAACAGAGTCACCGAGAAGTGAAAACCACGCTTATTATTTGGGAGAAACCAATTTGTGGACGGCATCTTTCGAGTTACTCCCGAGTGTTTCCAAGTGACAGGCCGAATTTGTGTTAATATGTCACGACTGCAGGCTCTCATATTTTTCCTCACTGTATCATCACATCCGCAGTCAGCACAGTCTAATGTAATACCCTACGAGTCACCCTACCAACGCTACTTGTGCCAATTACTGCACCTGTTTCACCAGTTATTTCATTTTGTAAAGAGTCGAAACCAAATACAACAAAACCTATTAATAAAGGGAACCACCATGGGGGCTAAACCGTTTTCTGTTTCTGGCAGGTTTCTACTTAATACGTACAGCTAGTTCACGTTAGGGCCGCGCCATAGCTCAAGCTTCCCACCGCGACGGCCCGGGTTCGATCCCGGGTCTGGTCAAGTGGGATTTGTGGTGGACAAAGTGGTGCTGGGGCAGGTTTTCTCCGAGTACTTCGGTTTCCCCTGCCAATCTTCATTCCACCAATTGCTCCACAATCACCCTCACCTATCATCTGGGGCTGGTACAATAGGCCAGAAGTGGCCGCAGTACAAGGGACTTGGTCCCACCCCAGTAGCAATAAAAAAATAATAGTTCACGTTACAAACAATATTGCGCAATTCAAAACATACTCTGTTTATACTGTTTATTCTAGAAACCAATGTTTGAAGCATCACGAAAACAAAAGTTAATTTGACAAGAAAAGATGGGATCGCTCAGTCGCACAGCGATACACTGGACGACAGGCTTAAAGCGACTAGCTCGTGAAGTTGACCGATCACTTCCATCTTATGCCGAGGTCAAGAACAGTGGAGCTATACCTCCACTCTCTATATCTTCATGGTGTCATCCTTAATTGTTTAATTAACTAATCACTGGGACACCTTTACATGTAATTAATAGTTGTACTTCATGTGTTGGTGTCTACTGGTGTGTACATGTTAACTATCTCTGCTAAATTACACATAACCATTATTATTTTCTACTGAATAACGTTTCACAGCCTTTCTTTCAGCAATGTTCTCTTTGGTATATCTTAGGTAACGTATGTTGATTAACAGGATTAATAAAATTACATTATACTACAGTCATGGCGTACAAGAACGGAGCATAAAGTTTCGAATTTCTGCAACGAAACTTGGGCGAGATGTTTTGAGAGTAAAGAGGCAGGGGGAAGAAGCTATATGCCACTCTCGGGCAATAAAAGTTCAGGAAGACTGATCGAAAACCGATGAAAAAGGAATTCAGCGACTTCCAAACCACTTCCTTTGCACGCAAATAAATTGACTTTCACAATAAAAAAATTGTACGACAGAAATGTTTTCTCATGCTTCTTCCTTGTACCTCGAACTCTGAGAAATCATGGCAACTGTTTATATTCGACGTCAAAAATTTTACCTTAAGAAAAAGTATCTTATTTGAGCATCCTGTTGCGTTAAAGTATATTCTTATATTGCGGTCCTATTTTCGGAATTTTCATTTAATATTCAGATGGCTGTATGGTTTTCCCCAAGGTATCAAATTACATTAACTTGTGTATTCAGTCAGTACAACACATGCTGGCCACGCACGGCCATAATCAGGTACAACTCTGTGTTCTTGTCACTTCGTATACTGTACTGTTGTTGTTGAAAGAAACGTTAATTAAATTTGAAATTAAGTTTAATAATTAAAATTAAATCTTGACGGTTAAAACCCAAGTTATTACCAATAAGAGGCTGAAGAAATTGGTACATCTCATCATCTGTAGGTCTCTGGTGCAACTGCTGCTGTTTCTATTGCGTTTATTGACAGTGTATTGTTCCTGGTTCCTAGATGAAGACTATCTTAAGATACAAACCTAAGTTTGTTTTAACTACCCGAAAGCCACTACGCTTGGAGCAAATGGACGATCCTGCAAGTCAAGTTTCCCCACTAACACCCCTACAAGGAACATCAGAACTGAAAAGAATTCGGGAATACAAGCTCGGTTTGAAGTTGCTTCATTGCTTCACTTCGAGAGCAAAAGGGATCTAACAGTCAATAACATTAAGCGAGATACTGCGTTACCTTCCACGTACCTAAATTACCACCCTGAATCCAACAACCACAGGCTCATGTACCTAAATTACCATGCTGAATCCAAGAACCACAGGCCTATAGCAGTGCCCAGTAAGCCGAAATCTTGTCAAGCAACCACGAACCACTAGAGCGTATAGGGGCGGTGGCAACGTCTCCCTGCATGCATTCTGAACCCCGGCACTGAATGGAGGTAAACAGTCACATTTCGGATTGGCTCAATTCAAAGCTAATTAGTTTCCATCATTTTGTGGGCAGTCAGGCATATGCTGTCAGAAACAAAAAGAGTTTATTTTTGGAGCAAAACTGGGTTTAGTTCAAAACGCTTCACCCACTCCTCGCCCAAATGATACCACTACCTGAAAAGTGACAGCCAGCCAGTGCAACGTCGCGTATGCGGTAAAGGTAAAGCTATCCCTGTAACAGGCCGTGAAGGCCCACAGGGTTGTGAGACGTTGAGGCTCCCACGTTTTCTGTACAAGGTTGTCAGCCTTACGCGCCAGCCGCGCTTTACTCCCCAGGAACACTATTTAATTAATTTCTGGTACTCTATTCTGTTAGAGGCTGAATCAACCTCAGGGCCATAGTGCGGCTGGATGGATTAGGTCAATTGAAAAAAAAAATCCAATGACCTCATCAGGACTTGAACCCGCGACCTTCCGGCTTGTAGCATAGTGCCTCAACCAACTACGCTACCGCGTAAAGTTGTAAATAACTAATTAAGAACTACGTCATGAAGGCGTATGTGTGAGTGGATGTATAGATTCACATTTTCTTGACCTGGGCACTAGTTGGAGGTGAGTGGTCAGCTTCACACCCCAGCCGCTTTAGCCACCCGGAAAGAGCGTATGCGGTAGGCAGATTTAACCGGACAATGAACAACTTCAGGAGAAATTTCTCTCTCCAAGAAAAAGTGGGGGCGAGATCTTTGCCATAAAATTATATCCAAACTGCTACATTAGCAATGCTAATTATGCTTGACAACAGAAAAAAATCACTATTTAAGTATCGACAGTTATGATAAAAGAGTCGACACAAAATGTTAATTCGATGAGTGGATGGTCCCTCATAATCTACATAAACATCTTTGCCAATGAGAAAATGCAGACGCGAACAGTTTGAGTACGTTCCTTCGGAAGTGAACATACGTTGAAAAGTTCTGATATTTATACACTGGTTCGAAACTAAACGCAACAGGGAGAATAAGAAAAATGAAATGGACTCTAAACTGGTCAAGAGAAGGCATGTTAACTATTTCATAGCCAAAGCTCATCCAACAACATGTAAACATTTGGCTCCTGTCTCCAGGAAGACACACCACACCTCTGTTACTAATATCATAATAATTATCATGGATATAAGTTCTTCGATGTTCCTGTTACAAGGATTAATAGTGCCAACCTATGTTTTTTTCGGATGTCCTTGACATGTTCTGATCTTCCACTTATTTTGACAGAAAGATGTCACAAAAAAGAATCGCTGTTTATTGCTAATACCAAATTAAGTCGTGAATATAGTGTGGCTGAAGCGTTGACTTATCGAATGTACAGTGCTGGCAGTCTGCGTTAATTACGACTGCCTTTACTAAGTTAAAATCTGACTTCACCTCAGAACAGCAACATCCATTACTTTGCAACCTCCATGGAATCCTGACAGCCATCTTTCCTACCTGCCGTTTACCTGACCCAAGCCACTAGGCGGGACAATTGAGTATGCCAATACAGACAAGGTCACCAACATTCATAACAGCTCCAACGATCAAATAAAAACAACACATATGATACATTCAACAAACACTATAATACTATCACAGAAAAATGCATTTCTAACTATTTGAAATTAGTCTCACCTCTGACAGATCAGGGTCATCGCGGATTCTCTGTTCGACAGTTTGATTCCTGGCGGTCGCCTCTTTGTTAGACACCAATAACACAATCACCAGCACCGTGGAGGCGCAACATTGCCACCGCGTTCTCATGCTTTCATCAGATACCACCATTCAACTACCTTCACACGTCCGTTGTCGGCGGTAAACTGGCGAGGTACTGCATCTCCCGCTCCCCACCAACTCCTTCCTATTGTGTGATGACGCAGTTCCGCTGGTGACGTCACACTACGCCTGCCATCTAGGCAGTCCCGTAACGATCTATCTAAAGGAGATTGTGTACTATTACAGTGCTGGTGAAGGACGAGAAATAAAGAGAAAATTGGGATTTGAGGACACTGAAAGGATGAAGAAGCCTCACATTCATCTTACATAAATAGGGAAGACCGGGGATTTCTTGTTCTTAGGGGACTACTTTCAAACACGCTTGTTCGCAGCCACGCGGGAAAATGTTTCAAAATTTGAAACTTCATTCAACTGTTTTAGTACCACAGCCAATGACAAATTATTGAACCAGTGCGTGAAAGTGTTATGCTCTTTGCGTGAGATAAAGCGTCATAAATTATTCTGTCGTTCTGTATTTAATTAAAACGGACCAGTATCTTTCTGTGAGGGTGATGGATGAGTTGCTCTGATGTACCACGGCAACAGAACTGTGAAACTAAGTTTTATATGCGTCTACGTGTGCGTGTGGCTGTCTCAAGCTACGTAGCAATATTGTGAAAGTGTAGAATTTATGATTCTTCAAAGCTTTGTCACAATGAGAGATCCACTCCATCATCATTAGTTTGGACCCTTTCCACTGCCTGAGATATAGACGTATTTCATTTTCCAAGATGTTTTCCAAGTTATCTCTATTTCCGGCTTCAGATTATCCTCTGTCATTATATTGGCAGATATCTGTAGGAGTCGAAGTTATCCCGCGATGGTTAGAGAGAATTCTGTTTTCTGGGTGGGTGGGTTGATGGGTGGTTAGGCAGGCAGGTAGGTAGGTAGGTAGGTAGATATGTAGGTAGGTAGGTAGATATGTAGGTAGGTAGGTAGGTAGATAGATAGACAGACAGACAGATATATAGATAGATAGATAATTAGATCGATAGATAGAGCCTTTCGTGACATGATAGTTGGCAGGAGAAACAGAAGTACTCTGATAGAACCTGCTCCAATGCCACTTTATCTACTTCAAATCCCACATTACTTGGCTTGGGGCTGAATCAGTGTCGCCTCATCGTAGTATCTCATCTATGTAGGGCCTCTGTTCGAGACAAACATGGCAATGCTCAGTTCAAACTACTCATTTCTAAATCGAAACGAATAATACGAAAGTATTAGAAAATTTGGCAACTTTTTTATTTGTAGAAAAATCTATTTCCTATAAGCATAGAAGTAGGCCTAACTAAATACTTCAGAAGGACCATGCAACGCTAGAACTCAGCACAGCATAGCTTGTGACACATCCTATACTCAATTTATGCCAACGAATGGAACCGCTGATTTTGATATGAGAGCAGTATTGGAAATACGATATACGCAAAACAAATTTACATTCTTTCATAGAATCTGATATAATTGAATTTTTTCCTCTTTGTACGTTTTACTGGAATCCACTCATATTGAAATGCGATTTATAACCACATTTGAACCCCGGAATTAACTAAAATGGTTTATGCTGTATGTCCATATCTGTATTCGATATGGTTTTTGAAGCATAGTCGTCTCTAGTGAGATGACGAACTAGGACAAAAATCTGACGTACAGTCTATGTGACCTGTGACACATCTGAAAGCAAAAATACACCAAACTCAGAAAATTGTTCATATGGTTTCCTTTTTATTTTTCTCTACTTTAATATTTCAGGGCCGGTCACGGTAGCCGAGCGGTCTAAGGCATGAACTGCCTTCCCTAGCTCGGAAGCCGGGATCGTGGGTTCAAATCCCATACAAGGCATGGATGTTTGGTATGTGTTTATTCTGTGTTGTCCTGTGTTTAGGTAGAGGTCTTGCGACAAGCTGATCATTCGTCCAAGGAGTCCTACCATCTGTAAAATGGTCAAAATGAAAAACAACCTCGATACCCTAGAGGTATAAGAGGAATGGATTAAGTAAGTTAACATTTTATGAATGTCAGTACAGGTTAATTGTTAATAAAGGCAATGTGTAGTGCACTCTTTATGACTCAGCGCAGTAGTTGTGGTTTATGTCATCTAAACGGAATGTTTGCATAGAGCGAGTCGCCAAAAGCAAAACAACCAAAGGTTTAAGAGCCAAGATTCAAATAATAAGCCCATTAGTATGAAAACTAGATCCTTGAGTTATGGACCTTTGTTAGAATTTGTCGGGGGTTTTTGATGAAAAAAAGAAAACACACACACACATATATATTCGCCTGACTGCTTGTAGCTGTGGCCAGTTTATGGGACAGGTTGAGATGAAACTCATTATGGGAACTACTACACTAACATTCACAGCTGTAGATTTTCTTAATATAATATGAAAACATTTAATAACTACAAATATTTCCAACCGGATTAAAATATTTATTACGGGGACTTATTTTAAGCAAAATTACGCACTTCAAGGGGATATACTCAAACTATTTATCACAGTTTAAAGCCACGTAATAGCATCGCAATTGTATTTACACCCTGCGGATTCCAGCTTGAATGTTTGTTTCTTGACGTCCTTTAATTATGCATTCCTCTACCTTAAATGACAGAATGTACTGCGCAGGAGCCATCGCTGTTAAGAGAACTGGTAATCTCTTCTGTTCCATCCTTCAACATCGATGAAACTCCTTTGCGTCGTGTTTCGTCGTTAGCTCGGGGTTAGAAGAGGGGGAGAAGGGTAACTCTAAATTCAATTAGTAACACTAATACGCACACCACTAAACGAGTACTACGCGAGGACATAAAGGGAAATTCAGTTAGGAGTTTGGTTAATTTTCACACCACAAACTCAAGCAATGGAGACAACCCTTCCGAACTCCTTCAGCGCCTTTCCCTGTAACTGAGTCAGTCAATTTGCATTTAAAATCCGAGAGCGTTCAATCATATACTATAGCATTGCACACTGTTGCACCAGAGACCGGGTTTACTTGAAGTTGGCCACTTCTGCACATTTTACGCAAAGAACCACGTATAGGCCTACCCCATGTTCCTTTTCTCTGTGCCCCATTTTACAACGCTATCAGGATCTCCGATTATATATAGTAGGATAACTGGTGGCTGATGAATTAGAAAGGACCTAGAAAGAAGTGGTTGCAGCCAATTCGAGTTACTATACCAGAATTTGCATGGAGGAACAGGTAAAGTTATACTCGTAACAGGCTGTGGAGGCCCATAGAGTTGTGAGACGTCGAGACGCCAACATTTCATAGCAAATCGGCTCACAGATGGCGGTGACGTCAGCCTTAGGCGCCGGCCGCCTTTTACACGCCCAGGAATATTCCTGGTACTGATTTCTGTTAGAAGTTGAGTCGACCCCAGAACCATAGTGCGGCTGGAAAGATTAGGTCAATTGAAAAGTCCAATTACCTCATCGGAAATCAAATCTATGACCTTCTGCTTTGTGGCGTAGTGCCTGAATCCACTGCGCTACCGCGTACCCTCCTGGAGGAACTGAGTAGAGACAGAAATCTCCAGTTACGGGAGCTGGTGACTTGATCTAGAACCGAACCTATTGCTTTCCGAACGTAGGTCTAGGTCGTTACTACTATACCAACCTGCTCGGTCCTATGGCGTGTTGTAAGGTAGAATTGTGATGACGAAATCAATAAAAGGAAGGCCAAATTTTAGTTGTGAATCTTAAAAATAGAATAAAATGAATCAGTCGTTTTTGCAACAGAAGAAAGAACTAGACCCACGAACTTATACGGCTCATAGACAAATTTAAGTTTGGCGAAGAATTTGGGAACAGAGGTTTTCAGGTTTTCACACCGGTAAGTGTTGATATTTTCTTCATCTGGGTTGTAACGCCATCAGGTGTTATAATTATATACTAACGTTTCGGAGTAGCATGTTGCCTCCATCTACAAGGCCGACGTTTATCCTGAAGATGGAGGTAGCACATACTTCCGAAACTTTGGTATCAATCTCCGAGATCACACGGTGCCACAACTCAGAAAACCAATATCAGAAGACTGGGGAAATTTGTGAGACCGGATCGGCGTGAAAACTTTCTGAAGATATGAAGATCTGAGCGTGATACCACGAGATAATTGCAGGAGCGTGTGCCCAGAAGTGCAACGATGCAACACTGGGACACTTTCACGTCACTAGTTCCAAATGATGATTAATTAGTCCAAGAATGTCGAGGGTTCCATATCTGTCAGAAGCGAAAATGTACATCGTGAACATAAAAAGCTCAATCTATTAAGACCATGTTAAGCCCACAAAGCCAGTCACGGCAGCCGAGAGGTCTGAGGCATGTACTCTCTTCGTTCGCTCGGAAGCCGGAATCGTGTGTTCGAATCCCACAAAAGGCATGAATGTTTGTATGTGTATGTGTTTATTCTGTGTTTAGGTAGACACCTTGCGACGGGCTGATCACTCGTCCAAGGAGTACTATCGTCTGTAAAGTGATCAAAATGAAAAAAAACAACCTCGACACCATAAGGTATAAGAGGAACGGATTAACTAAGTAAGTAGGCCGCGCCATAGCTCAAGTGGTTAGTCGCTGGCTTCCCACAGCGGCAGCCCGGATTTGATCCCGGGTCTGGCCAAGTGGGATTTGTGGTGGACAAAGCGGCGCTGGGGCAGGTTTTCTCCGAGTACTTCGGTTTCCCCTGACAATCTTCATTCCACAAATTGCTCCACAATCACCCTCACCTATCATCCGGGATTGGGACAATAGGCCAGAAGTGGCCGCGGTACAAGGGACTTAGTCCCATCCCACTAGCAATAAAAAAAGGAAGTAAGAAAGTATATCCATACAAACCAGAATTAAACTTACCTTACAATCCTTAATGTAGGCTTCCTAATTACATATTTCATGAAAACCAGTTCAGAAGTTTCGAAGGTCATATATGTAGGCTGCAGAAGAGGAATAATTTCCACATTGTGTGAGTAGTTTATGCAATTTCGTGCAAACAAGGCATCAGAAACGATATAGAATATAACCGTCTCCAAACAATACGACTCAAAGTGGTACG